ATTGCACTCAGAGCTTCATAAACTGTAGAGATAAAATACAAATCATTACTTTTCCTCCTTTATGGCTTTTCAGAGGAAGGCATAATTATCTAAAGTCAACACTGATTGTCCCACTATAAAAATTATTGCAGTCACAGCCTGGAGCCTTAAAGAGAATCAGGAGGTGGGACAATAAAAATCACAGTGCACAGTGCACAGGGGTATCTGCTCAGAGCTCTGTATCAACCTAAACTGATTTCAGGGAAAAAAAAATAAATCAATGAGCTTAATAACTCTAGGCTGGACATGTCTGTTCCATTCTGTGCAGTTTTMTGCCACAGAAATTGCAGGAGTGTCTGGGACTCTGCTTTGTGAGGATATTTTTCTGCACCCACTTCCAGCTGCTGCTTCTGAGTGTGAGACASAGAGATGAGAGCTGGGGGAAGGTAAAACAAACCAGAGACTCACAGAATGATTKGGATTGGAAAGGATCTTAAAACTCATCTTATTCCAAACCCCTGCCATGGGCTTGGACACTTCCAGGGATCCAGGGGCAGCCTCAGCTTCTCTGGGCACCCTGTGCCAGGTCCCACTCACCCTCACAGGGAAGAGTCTCTTCTGCTTCTCTAACCCAAATTCCATCATAAATAAGTCCATACTCTTTCTCAGTGATTCACTGTTAACAAGGGATGGTGAAATTTTATGCTGGTTTTACACAGCACCTAAAGCCAAAAGAGCTGATAAAGAAGGTCATGGATGCTACCAAAAAACCATTTCAGGTTCAAAGCTTTGTTCCTCTTGTCCCTGAAACAAATTGCACTGTACTGCTTGTGCAGCACCCTTCCTGCCAGGTAAATAGAAATCTGTGTCCTATAATACTTTGCAGGCATTATTTGCTGCCATAAAACATGAATAAAAGCATAAAATATTGAGGAAGATACAATTTTATAGCGCATTAAAAATAAAAAAAAAATTAACMAGCATGACAGGTTAACATTTTACAAGCATCAAAGGAGCAGGTGAATTATGGCATTATAGGCAGCAGAACAAGCTCTCTTGTGTTTAGCCTTGGAGCTCTTTATTTTTCCAGACCATTTCTAATTAGAGTCTTGAAATGAGATCCTGCTAGCAAACCCCTAAATTACAGGGAGTAAAGAGGGGATTCAGTCCAGGTATTTTTCCAGAGCAGGACTTTGAGCCCAGCACGCTGTGTTCTGCATACAAAGCATTTGAGTTGTGCAGGAACAGAAGGACAGAATGATCATAAAAAAAAAAAAAAAAAAAAAAAAAAAAAAAAAAAAAAAAAAAAAAAAAAAAAAAAAAAAAAAAAAAAAAAAAAAAAAGGTATAGGGGAGGAAAAAGAGCAGCTGGGGAAGAGATCAAGGGGCATCTTGCAGGACCTTCAATCATATTGCATTTGTGAATTCATTGGCTCAATGTGCTGGGGCTTTTAAAACAGTGTTGTGAGAAGCAGCTGCTATGTAGAAAGAAACCAGCCAAGTCCTGTATATTTTTATTAGTTACTCACTTTATTTTTTTACTGTAATAGAGAAAACACAGAGCAAAAATACATTTCTTACTTCATGATCTTATGATATAAAGTCAGGATAGGAGATAAGAGGTCTGGTAGGCGGACAGAAAGACAGGGTAGTGAGTCCATATCCTTATGATCCGTTTTCCAACGTAATTAATTTTTAGCTCTGATTTCTAAGGAACTGAAGTAGTACAATTGCAGTGACTATCTCTCCTCCTATCCGCCTTCCCACTGTACAAAGACTCCTGAAGCCACACGGCTATTTTTACCAAATCTGCCAAAAAAGTAGCAGCCTCAAAGATATTTAGTTCCTACAAGGATAAAAAAAAATGCAGGTGACTGGTATAAAGGGCTGAGGAAGTGTCCCTGAGGAGGAGAGGAAGGGGTAGCTCAGCACTTCTCCTCTGCAGGAGGCACGGCTCTGCTGCGTGAACAGCATGTGTGCGCTGGCACGATGGGCAGCACACACGGAGCTCTGAACCCGACAGAGCATATGTTGCCTCTCGAGCTGCCAAAAATATAGAGGCATGAGAGGAAGATGAAGCACCAGAGTGAGGAATTAGTGAAAACAGGATGTACAGAAATGAGGGAAAGAGTAAGGGAGACAGCAGAAATCTGGCCAGTGTTACATGACAGCAAATGCAGGGGTGGTGAGCAGGTGACCAGGATGATCACACATGAGAGAGGATGTGCAGGGACATTTGAAATGAGCTGTAGGAACTAAACTTTGTCCATAGAACAACCACTTGGAATTAACTTGTGTGTTGATATTCCTGCATGCCTGGGAAAACTGCGGGGCTGGAAAATATGGCAGTCCTGGTCCCTTCTTTAGATGGGGGAGAGGTAKAACAGCATCAACAGCAAAACATTTGCCCCCTTAATAAGAAATACCTGCAGGGAAGGGTGAGCCTGTTGTTCACTGAGCCTGTCTCCTGTTTCCCTCCTGAGGGAAAATGCTAAAACTACTGAGCAGTGTAAGTGCCACAGAAACATTTTGGAAAGTGCTCTGGACCCTCMCTTGAAGATTCACTATACTCAAGTGTGTGCACTTCCAGCATTCACTGAATGCACACAGCTCACTGAATGCTTTGTTCAGGCTCTGATCCACCTCCTAATGCTCCCAGGCATCTGCCTCTGACAAAGAGCAGAGGGGAGTTTTCCCACAGGTATGTCTGCCATATATAGTGGTTATGAAAAGACAAATAAAGCATAAATATTTTATGTTTTCTATGCATTCTCACCCATTCTTTGAGAATGCAATGTCTGACGTTCACTGCTGTAAGCAGCTTTGAATCACACCAGATACCCGCTCACCACCATGGCTGTCACAGTGCATTCCCTGTGCAGTCCCTGCTCATCCTGTCATTCCCCATGAATTCTTCATTAGGTCACAGTTGTCTCTAATGAGTGCTAATTCTTTTTCTTGTCCACACCTTCTTAGTGTGACACATTAACTAGGAAGGCCATAAGTAGAGCAAAGGGAAGTGCCCTGGTTATCTTATTCTGAATAGCAGTGATATCATATGAAGTAAGTCCAAATTGGAATCATGGTTATTCTTGAGCAGTTTCATGAGAGTCAGTTGTATTTCACATGGCCATTGATAGTGGGATTAAAAAGCAGAGATTTACAGGTTAAAAAGACTTAGTTCATTGAATAGGGTTGGAGCTTCTACAAAACATTTTATTGAGGACTTCACAATGCAAAGAAAAYAGCCCTGCTAAAAGGTTAGGTTTTACATTTCTGGGGTTGACTTTCATTTATAGATGAAAATATTTGTTGAGCATAAATGACTGTGCTCCAGAGAGTGCTGTGCACTGCCAAACCATTTTTGATGCCAAAATAATTTAGTCTGATCATATGGAAACCATTCTGAACCCCAGAAACCTGGATGCCATATGGGCAGGCTGCCAGCCAGAGTAAACCAAAGATATTCTGTCCTTGGAGTGGGAAAGGTACATAGTTCGCACAAGCTCTTAAAAAAATCAGCATCAGGAAGTATCTTGGCCAAGAGGAACTTGGCAGAGCAGTATTTTAGCTTTGCTAAGGGACTGTGTATGCCCATTGAAACAGTAACATCTGTGGAGGAAGGGCAGAGCACGGGGATACAATGCAGTTTTATGGCAGCACTGCTTAGTCAGGGAAAGGGACTCCAAAGGGAGCTGATACAGCCARCTGGCTGGCTGATGAATGAAGTAAYGATTGTGGAAGAGATCAAAAAGCTATCAAGTGCTCCATCTTTCCCATAATGAATTTCTGAGGATTAGTGGAGCTTGCAGTTGAAGTATAAAGGTGTGACGTCAGGAAATACTGAGCGTTTTTTTGATCCTTAAATCATTAAAATTAATTGGAACTCATGAGCAAGCCAAAGTAATGATAAAACTCTAAAGAATCTGAAATTTGTCATGAATGAATGGAATACAAACAAAATACTGTGCTTTTGTTCAGAAAATGAGGGCAGAAATTGAATGTATTTCCTATTTGTATGATGGATTCCCACTGGATTCGGCTGTGCACCTCATGGAGCTGCTCTGTGTGCAGAGCACAGAAGAGCCTATTTTTTTGCAGTGAAATGTGTTGAATATGCAGCAAAAATAGCACCTAAATTTATTTCTTTATTTTTTTTTTATTTGTTGCTCAGGTGACTGAAATTCTTATTTTGCCTTTACAGAACTCTAGGAGATTTAATAATTTTTCTTTCATATACTACTAAACAACAGCAATTCATAGTTACTAAACAACAGCAATTATAGGGGCATTGTCAGGTGATCAGTTCCAAAAATGTTAATTAACAAACAATTCTAACCTTGTGCCTCTCCTTGAACTTTCATGGATAATTTCCATTGTTAAAACATTAAGTGCTTACCTGCCTAAACCCCAAAATGTTCTCTATTTTCCCACTCTGAAAGAGCAGAGAAATTRCATCAGCAAAACCATAAAATTGATTGCAGAGTCATTATGTCAAATGCCTGCCAAAACACAGAGAAATATAATATTTTTTTCTTACATTTTCTAATATCATTCTGGGTGTTACATCGGTACTACAACAACGAACACGGCAGTTTCAGGAAGCATGGAAATTTTCAGCTGGAAATGGTCCTTCTGGTGTGTATTATACTTTGAGATGCTTTCCTGGCATCTACCAGCTGCTTTCAGGAAAATTTGCATGCAATTTTAGTTTGTCTAATTTCTCCTCCCTGTTAATGTGCTTTTGTTATTGCCGCGTGGAGTTCATTAACTTCGCCAGGAGATGGCAGCAATGGAAACCACTTCGTGCCCTCCATTCATAAGTGATCTTTCATGCTGAGCGACGATCAACATGRTATCAACCAACGTTTAAGAATTATTTTGAAAAACCAAGCAAAGCAGTCTCCACAGCTGTAATCATAGAAAGATATGGAAAAAAAAAAAAGAGCTGTGAATCGTGAAAGGAACTATGGGACCCCTTCCCAGGATCTGAAGGTCATTTTTTCAGCATTCAAGCTGCAAAGACACATATATGTCAATTAATAAAACTGTTGGAAGGAATTACTTCCCCAGGCTACCATGACCAAAACAGTCTAAAGTAGCTTTAATTCATTTGATCTTCATGGCACAGAACAGAAAGCATTTGAGTTTGGTGCAGAGGAGGACTGGGGAGGRTCTGCAAAAAAATCATAAAGATCTGAGATGGGGTTTTGGGCTGCTAGACTTTGACCCATGTCACTGATTTGGTGACAAGAGGCACAGGGAGCAAGCTGCTTATTTAACTGTTTTTATAAAACATGTGAAGGGACACAGAGAACCAGACAGAGCATCCACTTAGGAGAAATGAGTGTTTACACAGGCAAATTACCATACATATTTCCCACAGGACACAAGCATTATTAGACCTGTTACAAACTTTGTCAGCAACCACCGAGGAAAAGAAGAATCTTATTTACCCTTCTAAATACAGACCAGTCTTCAGGGCAATACAGCTGTTAAATTTACTGGCATGGATGCCTGTGTTACAGCCAGGATTTATCATGCATAATAAATCCACAACTGTCTCAGCTTCAGTTACAAGCTTTTGTTCCAAGCATATTATTTATTTATTGCCCAAAATTAAGAGCATGTGGAGGAAATGAGCTTCCCCACCAGGGGTTAATGTTTGTGTGCAGCTGAGCAGAAGGAGCAGTGAAGCTGAGGGCTGTGGCAAAGTCYATGCTGGTCCATGTGTTTCAGCATAGCCAGGACAACTCTGGGCACGTGTCCCCTTGAAGGGTTAGAAGGCAAAGGCTGCTGGTTATCTGCTCTCCAGAAAGGGAATTGGAGTGGTGAGAAAAGGCACAGCTCCTTGTCATATTTCCTGWCGAATTTGGGGCTGTAAGTCATCTTGCTGCCTTTGTGAATAACTAGGAACTCCCATCCTGGAGAAACAAGTGCTTTCATCATCAATGTATCCTCACAGAAAAGTCTGTAACACTTAAAGCTTTGGCTAATTGCTTGTTTTAATGAGACAGTTAAGAAAGTAAATCATGTTTATGGAAATCAATCTGTCCTGCGTCGCAATCTTTCCATTAGTGAGAAATTAGTTGTGACTCCTGGAAACAAATGATGTTCTGAGGTTTTATGGAGCTTGCTTGAGCTAAAAAGGCTAATATTGCTAGGAGGAATATGTGGGCTTTGTAGCTACAAGCCACTTCAATCATGGTAGAGACTTCCAAGCAATTTTGCYTTCTGTAAATTAAAGATCCACAACCCTCAGGGTGAAGGGAGCTTTATTGCAAGAAAATCTCACACTGCTCAGAGATGTCCCCTGTGCAACCCAGGTCAGTGATTATTTTGATGTAAATCAGCATGGTCTAAAAGAAATGCAGTTCAAAAGAAGCCTCCTTTAGTTATATAAACAYCTGTAATTATGAGGTTAGTCGATTTTCAGAACAGAAGATCACAACCTCTGSGTTTGCTCATAGTTTAATATACTTTGTGACTGAGAACACATGAGGAACATGGACTTTTGTGCCTCTAATTGTTCCTGTGGTTAGTTTATATGAGAAGCACCCTCTCTTAAACACCTCAAATGCAATTATATCCTATTACKACCTGTGTTAAAAATTTTATTACAAGCTACAGTGAGTATTCAACCTGTGTGCGTCTATAATACTCTAATATGTAAATGTGTTCCTCTTCCTTGTTTCTAGTTCCTCAAMTGCATCAAAAGGCAACATGATTTATATTTTCAGCATGTTATCCTACTGGTCTTAGATGTTTTTAAATGAAAAATGGAAGGGAAGGTATATGCAGCACTACCRGTATGTTGTTGATCTATAGGTTATGCCTCATTCCTCCAGCCCTCATTACTTAACATAAAATAGACTGGAGAAATTTAAAGGTATTTTGGTAATCCTAGGTAGTTACAAACAGAAAAATTCTATGATGCAGGAAGAGGAAAACAGTGTCTAACTGCCCTCTGAGCAGATTTTCTTAGTGCTGACCAAAAAGTCCTGCACAGGTGTGGTATCACACAGAAGCATGGAGGTCCTGGGCAGCAGCATCCATGAGGAGCCTGCTCTGGCTTTTTTGCTCCACAGGCTTTGCCCTGAAGGAGGAGGAAAGGGCACTCGGAGGCTTCTGAGCTCCATCCCTCTCCCTGCCGCAGTGTGGGTGCTGGCTGCCTTTTCAAGTAGCAGCACAGAGCGTTACTGTGAGCCTCCTTTAAAAAAGAGATGCCCTCTGAAATGCCTGAATTTAGAAGCAGATTTATTATGCAGGCTGAAATAGTGATTAGCTCCTGCCAGTGTCACCAGACAAAACGGAGCCAGCCTTCTCTAGATTCAGTAGTGAAATCTAACAATGATGACAACAACAACAAATAACTAAAAAGCCCACACCAAAAAACAACAAAATTACACAAATGGAAAACAAGCCATTGGAACAACCTTGCCCTGCCTTGTCACTTCATCAACTTTCATGACCACAGCAGTAATATCTTACACAACACAGTACWGCATTATATTGTATTCCATCATGCAATATCTTATCTTTTTCCATTATAGCCTTGTTCATATTGTTTTCAGTCCTGACCACACTGTCTCTGTCCTAAAATAGCAGGGAGACTAGTGCAGTGGAGCTGCCAGATGTAAGGATACCCGCTACCAGGCCTGATGCTGATCCCACCACACATGCAGGCTGATGTGTCCCAACCTGGCCTTAGGCTGTCCTCATCCCCATGGAGGTATCTGATGGCTGGGAGCAGAACTGCCAAAAAGGCAGCCAAGGACCAAACAAGGCTTTAGTGCTGACCTTTCAGAGATGAGGATTTGGGTTTTAATGACATTACTGGCAGGTGTGGTGAGGTGTTGGCATCAGTCTGACTGGTTTAGGGTGCTGACCTCAAGGCAGAGGAATGCTGCTGGCTCTACGCATTGTGATTACCACCTCAATGAGCCAGCTCAGGAGGCACCACATCTCTGGATATTTCCACTGCTACAATATCCACAACACTTCAATTACAGGACATTTTGAACCCCCTCAGGGGGGTGCAATCCCTCCATGCTGCAGCCTGAAGGGGCAGCTGTCAGAGGTGATGGTGCAGAGGCCACAGGAGAACCTCTGAGTCTGCATACACAGTTTCTGTTTGTGAGATGTCACATCCATGTTCCTCAATGCATGATGAAGGTCCAGCAGGCACTATGTTCAGTATTTTTCTCTCTTACATAAGGAAACAAGCAGCTGGAGGCAGAAAATCTCCTGTGTGGAGTCACACATGTGCAAATACTCAATGTGAAACTGATGCAGAGACAAATAGTCTCTTCTTTTTTTTTTTTGGGTTTTTTTTTTTTTTTTTTTTTTTTTTTTTTTTTTCTGACAGCAACCATGTACATATTTTCCAAAAGTTTCTCTTGGGAATGGATATTTACACAACACTTCTCATGATAAAATTTTGCTTTCTAAAGCAACCTGAAAAAAATTGCTTACATGACATAGAAAAACCTTGAAAGGATGGGGAGAGCAGGTGCCCAAAACACTAAGAGCTTGTACTTCTGCATCCTCAGGTCTGAAACAYGTTGAGAGCAGATGAGATTTGTGCRGCCGACAGGCACGTCAGTGCAGTGGGGTGCTGAGCATGGGGACAGACCAAGGGGACAAAGCTAGGACACGTGCCACAGGTGACTGACGTGGCAAAAGTATTGTGGCTTGTCACGTGTCACTGAGTAGCTGGTTGTGAAAGACACTGTTTAAACAAAGTGTTGTGTACATTTCCATGTCAGTACCTGTCTGTCCAGATTCTTAATTTCAAAACGCAGCTCTTAAGCATATTTGAATGAGTCATTATTTTTGGCCAGCATTGACAGTAACTGGAAAATCTAAACATTACTGCACTGTACATCCCCTACACTCCATAGATTGTACAGGAGTTTTTTATATGGGTGACATCCTATTTCTGCTCTGCCTACACCCACTTTTCTCTGGTCTGCAGGTAAGAGCATTCTTGTTTTGCCGGAAAGGGCCCCCCTGCTGGATAGTTACTTTCCTCCCCTTAGTGCAAAAGCACTTTTGTATAGCTTCTCTTTGAGTGACTGGTGACTACTTAGCAATTAGGATGTATTTTTTTATACATCAGTGCTTAACATGGCAAAGCAGCTTTTGCATCCAGGAGTGAGTCCTCATCTTTGGCAGCTGAAGCCAGGGCCCACAAAAATCCTTCATAGCCATGTCTGCTTATTTGTGTTTGCCTGTAATAAGGTAACTGTACAACATGGCATTCAATCACTTACAGAGCATTGCAAGAACATTACAGACACCCTTGGGCATGAATTGCCTGACTTTGAGGCCAGTAAACCAGAGCCTCTAGTCAGCACATCCCGCATTTCTGACAGCAGTTGCAACAGCCCACCTCTRAGAAAATAAATTGATGAAATCATTGAGCATATCTCAGATCTTCTCAGTTTAAATCCAAAGTGTTAAAGTCTGTGAAAGCAAAGAGGAGATGGATGAAAGGGAGGAGACTCCAGATGGCCATTGTGAGGGAAAAGGAAACAAGAGACGCTGAACCACTTGAGGAAGGGAAAGTGTGTCCAGATGTGGGTGGGACGAAAGCCCTGGAGTGAGGGAYGGCTTGGAGACAGTGAACAGAGGATGAGAAGGAGGTCACACAGTCATCCTGTAGAGAAGAGAAAGGCAGAAATGCGTAAAATTCATCCTGGGATGAGCCAGGATTTTGATCTAGGGGTAACCATAAAGCATACAGCCGGGTACTTCAATGCTTTGACTTTGGTAGAATAAAAGTCACGTAGCTACAGTCGCTCTTGAATCCACAAAAAAAAMCAGCTCCCCCTTTCTTGGAAATGAGCTTTGCTAATTCTCTCCATGTCTTGCTTAATCAGCTCTGCCAGCAGCTGAAACAATCTTTTCTGTTCAACAATGAACCACTMTTCATATTTTCAATTTTCAGTGTAAAGAGAAGCATGAAGTCTGCACATCATTCAGACTGTAGCTCATGAGCTTTGGAAGGTCCCAGCAGCTTGACTGTGACTTGAGTGAGAAATCACCTTTCATATAAGCAGCAATTAAATAATAATCTTTCATATAAGCTGCAGTTTCCAATGATGGAATGGAAAAAGGGCTGCAATTACATGGTCGACGGTAATAACCTTATTGTTACATTTCCCTCCATTTCAAGAAAAAAACATGATTCAAAAACAACACCTTTCAACACTCATTATTTGGGCAGCCTGGAAAATGTATAAGCAACAAGTGGGTGACTATGCAACACAAAAATGTGGACTTCTGACAGGAATTTCTTGCTCTTGAGAGGAAGCAGCCTAATGCTGCCACTAATTACCAGGACACCAGAAACAGGAGGTTGTTAATAGAACTTAAAACTTCCATGTAAATTGGAAGGCAGTGCCTTTATAAAAAGGGTTTTAAATATTGCCTTGAAGAATTGACTATGAAGTCTAGGTTGGCAGAAATAAAGTAAAAATTAATAACCCATGGTGAAAGATCATGGATTTAAGGACTAAAACAAATTTGAGGTCTCAGCCAGAGAGTTAATAAACTCTACACCATAGAGAGGAAGGAAGGAAATAYTATACAGATTTGAGGCCTGTTTAAATTAAACATAATAGCAAAATATTTCTGATCAGGTATTTCTGATTGACAGAGATGTGGGAAAGCTATCAGTGTCACTTGGGAGATTTCATCTGGAAAAGTGGTCATCTATGTTCAAGAAAGAAGAATTRTCATGGGAACCAGTGCAGAGAAAAACTTCAAGACTGGTCAGGAGATGAAAAACAACARCACTGAAACCCAGATTCATGCTGCCCAACTTCAGGCACTTTACAAAGACACATAAAATAGGAGCACAGTCACCAGGGTCTCCTGTAGTCAATGGAAGGAGATGGGCATCTCCAATCATTCAGACTACCTAAGTTCTGACTTGGCTTCTAAATTAGACAGTTTATTTAAATACCCTAACTACTAAGGAAGCATATTGCTCCAGGGAATTTGCATGGCACCCTGAAAAACAGAGGATCAGAAAGAAACCAGCTGCTCCCAGAAGTGTAAACACCACAGAAGAGGTCAAGGTGAGGTTTAGCAGCAGGACAAACTGATATATGCTGGGCACAAATAAATTGTTCTGATAAAAAGAAGGCTGGTCTTTGGAAACRGCTTTCCATATGCAGGTGGGGGAATAAGAAACTTGCCTAGAATTAAATTGCAGCTGAATAAGTTCATTTAAAAGGTTATGTGACGAGCATACCTGAAAGAACAAACATTTGGACTGGCAGATACAAAAAGTTCCTCTCTCATCTGTTTTCTATGCTGTTTTATTTGGATTTTTTGTTACTTAATACAAACAGGACTAATCCTTTATACTGGCACCAAAGAGACTTCTTGTAAAATCACATGTGTTTTGCACAAGAATTATTGGAAGGTGCCGCTGCCTGTCGTTCTCCATCTGCATCAAGGGGAAGGACTAAAATCTGTTTTCTGGAACCGGAATTGCTCGAGACCAAACCTGAGAACAGCTACTGCTGAGCAACTGACCTGCAAAATGCTTGCTGCCCAAGACAAGGGAGACCAGTTTTCCTAAGTGATGGGCAAATGCATGGCAAGGTGCTGTTAAGAAGGCACAGAAATGCTATCAGCATGTTCCCAGTTGTCACTGGTACAGGTAGTGTGTGTGGTCGGGTGTACAACTGATGGCATGTTAGGCCAATGTAGTGTCTTTCTACTCCAGTTGTAGCAGCAAAGGAAAATCATTGTCCATGGACCAGCCTTGTTTACAAGCCTGAAGTGCTGGAGCCATGCAGTTAAAAGTGTCCCAGAAAATACAAACACAGACTATCGATCCCAGCTATGTATTGCCAAAAGGGTGGAAGAGCACAGCCAAAGGTCTGGCAAACAGACAGGAGAGGACATGGGAATTTARGCATCGAAGGATTTTGGCAGGAGCATTGTCAGAAATGGGACTGGAGCATTGTATTCTGCTATTTAATCCTTCTTAATTTGCAATGGAATGAGCCTGTATACACACTGCCAAAAATTATGTGTCAGAACCAGAGAAATATCAGATTCTCCTATACTGATATTGGCTAACTAGTTGGGTCAACAGCATCCTATTRCAATAATAATGTGTGCTAAGAGAAACAAGATTATACTCCTGATTATTGCATTTCATGCTGGGGAATTGCTGTGTCACAGTCCCCTAATTCTATGCAACCCTGGTATTTTGAAGGATGGAAGTAATTTTGAATTTTATGTTTAAACTTGCACCTGTGTCTAAAATTATATATATATATTTCATTTCAGAATAGCAGAAAGTAGTTAATTTTCCTGGGTAATACTTAGCATGAACTTAGTGGTTGATATTAGGAAACACAAAATTTTGCAAAAGACTGAGAACCAAGTGAAGCAAGACACAAACTGACAACATATAAGGCCTTGAGAGGCATGAAATACAGGATTTTACAACACAGTTTTAAAATAGCAATTACACTCATTTTTCAAAGTAATTTGTTTGCTAAAGCTTGCCCCATGAAAAAAAAGAAACTAGATACAAATACAGAGTAATGCACATTTTTTGTTTAAAAAAATGTGTTAGCTCTTATTCCAACAAAACCTTAGAGGTTATTGCAAAATGTTTGTAAGGGCTTTATGTTTGACAGAGTCTTATCTTTCTTTTTCCATGGGGTCACAGTTGCTCTGTAATGCTGTCACTGTTAAGGATAATGTTTGTGGGCAGTTGCTATTGGCAGTGACAGTCGAAGTTCAGGCAACCAAATTTAGACATGAAATTAATAAYGGCATATGTACCAGAGAGCTTAAGTATGCATTGTTTCATCATGACTTACCAGGAAAAATTCCTACTGCGGTCCAAGAAAGCTTGGCATGAATATATCATATATATGGAGAGAAGGACCTGCCTCAGAGAAAGGAGGTAAGTAACAGTATAATCTGGATAAAATGAGACAAAATATTTGGARTATGAATACAGCTGAAACCCCCTGCTGTGGAAAGCCAGGGTAGTGTGCCACTAAGAATGTGCTTAGCTGCATAAATACACAGTGTTTCATGAAGTCCACACATACCCCACTGCAGAAATTGTTAATTTTAAAAAGATTGTAAATKTGAGTGCAATATATGCCTCTAGTACTTACATATATTATAAACAGCACTGGGGCTGTGGAGAGGATTTATCTGTGACCACTAAGCACTTACCTGATTTGCACAGCCACGCCTCTGTCTCAGCAGGCAGGCTTGATAAATCCATCTGCTCACCATAAATAATTGAACTTCTTTCCTGACTGCTTTCTTTTTTCTTCAAAATGTCCTCTGTGGGTCCATATACACAGGGCTGCTGAAATTAGGGAAAAAMGTATGAGCTGGTTTTGTGTCACTTTACAGGTCTGGACTTCAGCCACCTATAGACGCCATGAGCTTCCCTCAGTGTCTGAAGTTAATCCTTCAGCTAAGACCAAAACTCCTTTAGGAACTAATAATAGTGACCCCAGTAGTGAACCTGCATCACATTTATTTTATTCTGGACTTGGAGTTCCTGGACATGTTTGGACTACAACTGGTCAGGTTTCCAAAATATAAACAAGAGACAAGAGATGAATAATGTAAGAAATCTGAAAGGACCTCTGACACACATGCTATATATTTTTTGCTGCAGTATAATACTTGTGAAATATTATAGCAGGAGCTGCTTAGCCTTCCAATACGTGTTCCAGAATTCAAAGAGGGAAAAAAAAGCTGCAGTTTTTGGCTACTGCTGCCCATTAAAAATTCACGTCACTTGCAATCGTTATCCCAGAAATAAGAGAAGTTTTGTGAGAACTGATCAGATATGTCTTGCACATATACCTGGAAGTACACGCATTCATCTGAGCACCTTCCCAATGAAGACCTGACATAAGCTTTTCCTTCTTAAGTCTTACTTTTTCTCCCAAGAGACAAGACTGGGTGCCCTACCTATGCAAAGGAAATCAATGAGTTTCTTTTGCCTGCAGTGTCAAGTAAGCCCCCAAGCAAGCATTCCACTGTAGCAACTGTAGTCAGAATTGAGAGGGCCATTAATTTATCACAATTTATTTTGGGCAGTGTGACTACATGTCAGTGCTGACAGCATTTGTAGCATTAAGTGTTCCAGAGTGAGGACCAAGGCACTGCTAGCAGGTTCACACTCTGAAGGCCTGCCAATCCTGGTAGGTCACTAAAAACATAGACTTTGCTTTGTAGTATTTGTTYGGGGAATGCTTTAGCATGGCTCATTTTCCAGGTTTGGATGAGCCTGGGATCCTCTTCTRTGTTCAGAGGCAGTCATGTCCTAAGGACTGGCAGAAAGGAAAAAGAAAATCAAAATAATTTCRTCTGCAAAGGATGCAACAGGAGCATTGTGTCAAAAGAAGAGGAAAACACACCCGTATGAATGAAGGATCCATGTGATTCCCTCAATTCTGACTTCTTTATGGCATTTAATAGTGTACAGAGAATTTGTCTGGCCATGCCTCCAGTTGTTCATAGACTATGATGGTTTGCATGTCTTTAAAATAAACTCTGGCACACAAATATTAAGCCGCATAAACGGAGTCAGTCACATATGTCCCTCAGCTGGGATGAAGTTCTTAATTAGACCTTTTCCTGGGGKTAGTCAGCATTAAGCTGCCTATGCTCACAGGCAGCTCTGCCGTGGTGCAGCTGMGTGACCTTGGATTAGACTGTTGCGTGAGAAAGAGCTCTAAGAAGTGAGGGCCACTTACTTTGCTCAAGAGCTGTGCCTACATTGAAGCACTCTCCCTCAATCCTTGCATGAGCTGTGTTACGGATATAACTGTGCCTGGCCACACACACTGCCCCAGASCCTCACCCACCTGAGCTGATGATGGCTCCTTCCCATCACTGTGGGCTTGTGTGACGATGACCAGACTGGTGGTTGATTGGCTCTGATTATTGTCACTGAACCTGATTCTGACCCTGACTCACAGACTTCTGGCTTGACCTCAGATCTCCTTCTCACTATGTTCACTGGGACTGTCACTGGTGATCTGTACTTTTGGCTGAACTTGTAGCCACCACCAGAACTGCTTTGCTATTCTTGTTTGCGTGCTGTGGGAATGCTCCTGCTTGCTAGTGAAGCCACTGCCTTACTATCACCCTCCACTCCCAGCTTGCCTTGCTACTTCATTAARCACATTCCCCCAAAGGATGCCACCTTTCACCTACCACTGGTATCATTGGTGCCAGTGGGACTGTGACGGCCCTGACACCAGTAGTTCCAGCACAAACCAGACAATAGGAATACAGATTGCTGACACCATGTGACTCTCCTTTTAGCCAAAGATTTTTGTTAGAAAGCTGTCTTGAGCCAGCCTACTGGCGCCATGAATTCCTGCCAATAGGATAAATCAGGAGAGTGGGCAAGAAGTCAGCAATTGAGACAAAGAACCTGTTCTGTCACAGACAGATGGCAAAACTAAGCAGTGACACAYAACTCCTCCTGTGTGACCTCACTGAGCTGTTGGTCAGATAACCAGGGATTCTCAGTAACCTGGAGATACCATATTTCAAAAGCCCAAGTAAAATGCAAAGTGGTCACAAACCCAAAATAGTCCCAAGTTCTTTGTTTTTGTCATCTTTTGTAACTTATTTTAGTTGTCGAAGTCTAGCAACAGCATTTCATACTTTAGCTGTTGATTTTCCCACCTCATCTGCAGCATTCTCTCCTCTTCCTCTCCAGGGCACTACCTCCACCTGGCTTGGCGAGACCATCTTCAAGCATACAAGGCCTATGACAATTCTTCCAACTCCACCATGAGGTACCACTGGTGTTCCACCTGGACTGCCACACAGACATAAACAGCTTGCCTCCTTATTCAGACTGTCACACTTGCAAGGATTTCAGCAMTAAACCCAATCCTTGCTGGCAGCCTCAGACAGCAGTTGTGAGACAAGGCTATCAGCAGGAAGGCAGCAATTTCAATTCAGTCGAGCCCAGTCGACCAGCGCCCCTGAGATCAATCTATACATTAAGACAATGAACATATAGGAAATGGTCAGAACATGGGTAGTCCCACTGAARTGATGTCAGCATCTTGCAGCTCAAATACTCACACCAAATTTGTCTGGCTGCTATTGTAGCCTGGCCAGTACTGCTCCCTTGTTCTAATACTGTCTTGAGTACCCAAGGGTAGTTATGCCTTCTGCATTTAATTGCCACTCCTCTGCCAATTTACCTGGAAGGTGTCCTTTGCTCTAACATTGTACCCTGAAGGAGAAAAACTAGTGCTCTTGAGACATCTATGTGTTGTCCTGTATACATGYAGTACATACGGACTTCTGTCTCTTCTCTGCTCTTCTTAAACAGGATGCTAAAAGATCTGGCTAATACTTTTCAGAAATGTGAACCTCCCATTCCAAAAAAGAATTGTTCACCAGGAGTCTCATGCTGAACAGCAATGCAAAACATGAGGTTCACATAGAGCCAGCTACCATTTTCTAGAAACACACATTTCTAGCGTTTTCTGACCCAGCATGCACAAACAGGTCACTAAATCCTTTGTTTTTCATGTAGCATATAGAGAGAATTGTTATGGAAGTTTACCTTTCTGGATGCGTAAATACATTTTGTACACAACAGAATCCAAACAGTGTAAACACTGTTGTGTCTTATATAACCTTTCAGCATGTTCTGCAAAACTGGCTTCCCTTCCTCAAACACTGCAGTTTGGATACGGCCTATCAGTGAGCACTCACAAACATTCACAGCTCAGAAACAAAACCCGATCTGTTTGGTGGACAGGAATGCTATCAATGTGTTTATTAATTTATTTAGCTCGTTATTTGGCATTTAGCAGAGAACATAAAGAAATCAGTTTTGGATTAAAGAACACAAAATCCAAGTCTCTAAATTGGAAGATACAATTGACAAACCCCATTTGTGCATGTGGAAAAAAATCTGCTATGGAGGAGGAAGGCACCTATCCTGCAAATCTGTATTTAAGTGAGAGGTACACTGTGGCTCTGGGCTCCCCAGTACAAGAAAGASAAGGAACTACTGGAACGGGTCCAGTGGAGGCTCACAAAGATCATTTGGGGTCTGGAGCATCTCTTTTATGGTGTAAGACTGTGGAAGCTGGGCCTGTTTAGTCTAGAGAAGATGGGGATCACATTAATGCACGTAAGTATCTCRAAGGTGGATGCCAAGAGGATGGTGCCAGACTCTTTCCAGTAGTGCCCAGCGACAAGACAAATAGCAATGACCATAAACTAAAACGTAAAGTTCCAGCTCAATACGAGGAAGAACTTTAAAGCGGCAGATTACCGGAACAGACTGCACAGAGATGTCAGAAGTTTCCCTCTCTGGAGATATTCACCTGCACGCCTTGCTGTGCCACCTGCTCCAGGTGACCCTGCCTTGGCAGAGGACTTGAACTGGATAATCAGCAGAAGTCCCTTCCAAACCAATCCGTTGTGTGATTTCGTGACACCGTATGGAACTCCCCGCCTACACGGCGAGCAGAGCCGAAGACGGCCCGGCACACTTAAAGCTCCACACGGCCCAGCCGGGCTCGCCTCTCCCATTGCCAGCGGCGGCACCCAGCACGAAGGGACCCACGGGGCGCTCGGAGCCGCTTTGTCCCCCGCCCCCGCGGCCTCAGACGCCCCCAGCACCGCCCCCCCC